TCTGCTTTCCCCTTGCCTGTATCTTGCTGTGACCTTGTGAAAGAGCAAAAAGATGATCCCTCGCTTCAGCCACTGTACAGCCAAGATCTACCAGATGGTGAGGCAGAGAGTGCAGCTTGTGGCTACTTTCTCAAAGACGGCCTGTTGGTGAGAAAATGGGTTCCCCAGGAGGACTGTGTTTTGGGGTAATGAGATTGTCCAAGTAGTTTTGCCCTCTTCATTACGTTTAACTATCCTTCAGACTGCTCATGATGGTGTACCTGGTAATTTAGGTGTGAGAAAAACCTATGATCGAGTTATGCGGCATTTTTACTGGCCACGTTTGAAAAGAGACATCTCAGCCTTTATCAAAACTTGCCACACATGTCAGTTGACTGGAAAACCAAATCAGCCATGTGTGTCCAGTAAGTCTTCCCCATGTTTACTAGTTAAAAAGTCTGATGTACATTTAGACCTTGTACTGATCTGGTGAAGTGAACAAAGTAACCAAGCCTGACTCTTTCCCACTCCCACGCATGGAGGATTGTGTGGATCAGGTCGGTTCGTCAGTGTTTTATAAGTTCGACTCACTTAAAGGTTACTGGCAGGTGCCTGTGACTCCTCTAGCTACAGAGTGTTGGGAATAGAATGATGTTATGTGTTTTACTATAAGTTGTGTTTCACTATATAAGTTTTAGATGTGTGAACAATGAGAATACTGAGATGATTTCAGCTGATCTGAATGTGTTTGCTTTGCAGAAGTGGAGAAGTACAGGAGAGGAAGAGACATGAAGTCTGAGGAGCACATACCGCAATGCTTAGATAATTAGTTTCATATATGGTAAAAAGAATAGAAAGTGATATACAGATAGTAAGGTACAGCACGTGTAGGGAGTTGTGTTGTTCTCTTGTCTTTCAAAACAGGAACCACGCCCCCACCGCCAGCGGGAAGGAGTCAGATTAACACGAGGCAGGGGCGTGGTGTGGTGAAGGAGGAAGTGGAACTGCCAATGAGAAGAGGACAACGCCTTGCGTGCATAATGACACTCTGTTACGCTCAAATATACTGGGTCAGGGAAAGGACAGGAGGTCAGACTTCGTGAACTGACACACCTTTGTTGTTCGTCAGGGACGTGAAGTTGAGACCCAGAGCTCTGTAATTTTATTCCTTTACTGCTTAATAAACTACATTAACTGAGACCGAATATCTTCTCCTATTGCTTCATTAAAGAACACGCAGGACTGAGCTCACACATAGCACATTAGAGAGTAGGATGAGACTCTCAGTCCATCAAGAGATCGCTGCATTTATCACACCCAGGGGTTTGTATTCTTACACCGTGATGCCATTCAGCTTGCGTTGCAGCTTATGCTCCTGCCACCTTCCAGCACCTCATGAACAAGGTTGTGTCTGGTCTGGTGGGTTGCGCTGTGTAGGCTACTTGGATGATGTTGTGATTTACAGTGATCCTTGGGAAGATCATCTTCGGCACATCAGGGCCCTGTTTGACCGTATGGCCTGGGCATGTCCCACCATCGAACTGGCAAAATGTGAGCTTGCCAAGGTGACAGTCACCTACCTGGGTAAGGTAGTTGGCCAAGGGCAGGTGCGGCCTGTAAGGGCCAAGGTGTTAGCTGTTGACCAGTTTCCTGTGCGGACAACCAAGAAAGAACTGTCTCGTTCCTTGGGTATGGTGGGCTACTACCATGGGTTTTGCAAAAATTTCTCCATGGTGGTTGCTCTGCTCACATCTTTTCTTAGCCCAGAGATTAAGTTTGAGTGGTCTCCTCACTGTCAATAAGTTTTTGAGTCTGTGAAGTCATTGCTGTGTTCTGCCCCTGTCTTAGCAGCTCCCCAGTTGGACCAGCCTTTCTCCCTCTATGTGGATGTTAGTGAGGCGGGAGCTGGGGCTGTGCTCATGCAGATGAATGAAAAGGTTGTCGACTGTGTGGTGAGTTTCTTTTCTAAAAAGTTCAATTCACATCAGTTAAATTATTCCATCATCGAAAAGGAAGCATTGGCACTCATCTGGGCAATGAAACATTCTGAGGTTTATGTGGGAGGTGGAGTAAGTCCCTTAGTTTTATACACAGACCATAATCCCCTAACCTTTCTACACTCATTCCAAACTGAAATCAGCGCCTTTTGCAATGGTGTCTATTCCTTCAGCCAGTCCATTTAGACATTCGTCATATAAAGGGAACTGAGAACACAGTGGCTGATGCCATGTCTCGAGCTATGCCTTTTTAAAAGGATACTGCACCCAAAAATGAAATTCAACCATTATCTACTCACCCATATGCCGAGGCAGTCTCAGGTGAAGTTTTAGAGTCCTCACATCCCTCGCGGAGATGGGGCTAGCAACAAAACTCCACCTAATGGAGGCTGGACACCCCAGATTAAAACGTCCAAAACAAAACACATAATTGAAACAACAGAATATCTCCATACTGCTTGTACGTAGTGATCCAAGTATCCTGAAGCCCCAACATAAAAAGTTGTTTGGAAAAACGTCATTTGAACTGTTTTTAGCCACATTGTAGGCTGTAGCTCTGACTGCTTCTGTGTACACTGAGCTCACGTGTGCGTGCTTGCACGCGAGACCAGCGAAAGCACGTGAACACACATGAAGGCGGTGCCGATGTCTCATGGTCTTGCTCAAGCACACACACGTGAGCACGGTCTACAGAGAGGCAGTTAGAGCTACAGGCAACAATGAGGCTAAAAACAGAGCTTACATGACGTTTTTCCAAACAACTTTTTATGTCGGGGCTTCAGGTCACTTGGATCACTACGCACGAGCAGTATGGAGATATTCTGTTGTTTCAGTTATGTGTTTTTTGGACGTTTTAATCTAGGGCGCCCAGCCTCCATTAGGTGGAGATTTGTTTCTAGCCCCATCTCCACAAGGGATGTGAGGACATGGCTGAATTTTCATTTTTGGGTGCACTATCTCTTTAAATTCACTTGTGTGCGTCCTCCCTGCAGTGTCTCTATCTGTTCTGGCTCTCCTCTCTCTTAAACTGCTTCCTAAGATACCAAGGTTGCCGAGGGAGGTGGCCTCGACGGTCACAAGTTGAAAGGATATCCAGTTAATATAGTTAACATAGGTTGAATGATTACTTACATGTTAACGTTAATATAGAGTGTTAATATAGAGTGTTTTTGATTAACGTCCTCAGCTGTTTGAGCTGGTTATTGAGAGTTGAAAGTTATATAGTAGCTGTCATTGACTTTTGGGGATCCTAGTTAGGACCCCCATTTTAAAGGAGGGGGTGTGACGCACTTGTTCAGTCTGCCTGCCCATGTCTGACTTTGCTCTCTCTCTTGCAGTTACTGGGAGTTGGCTGGTAGGCGGAGCTGGGAGGGAGTGTCTGCCCTTTTGGGTCGGGCTTGCAGAGGGCATAGGACCACCCTTTTGGTCACACACTCTCTCCCAGCTGGGCCTGCTGCATCCTCTTCAGCCTGCTTCCTTTGCTTTATATACTGCACCTTACAGCACACATTACACCGTGTTTCACTCATCCACACACTACTAACATGACTGATACCCTTCCTACTTGCACATGCCATCAATTATTTACTATGTTTATTTGTTTGAGTTAAATAAATTAACTTTCGATTGATATATCTGTGTGTGGCCTCCATTTTGTTGCCGGCCTTGAGCCAGTCGGTAACACAATGTCAAGAAATAAAATTATGAAAATGTGCTTGTGCATTGTGCCAAGTTGAAAAAAAAAAATGCTTACATTTTAGGACCCATCCATAAACTGACTACATCTGAGATTTATAATTTCTTACTGTAGGAGGCAGGTTTTCTTTAAAAATTGCCAAAATTACACCATTAGCCAGAAACTGTAAAAATAGTTATTATCACTGGACTATCAAATTTGTGACAGTCCTTGAACACATCAGAATAAAACACAACAAAATCTGAGCTTAAAATAGTGATATTTCATCAAAATCACTTTATTCTACATCTCATTCAAAAATTTGGCCAAAAATAAATCATTTGCTCATTTGCACAAACTAACCAGCGTGCATGACACACTTTTTTTTTCTTTTTTAAGTGAGTTTTCAGGTAAGGTAAAAATCTACTAACTAATTTATGGTGGAGGGAGGGTCATGCATTTTCCACCAGTCACTCAGGGAGGCTCAGGGGGAAATATTTGTAGCTTTGGGAAGGATCAAAATAATAATTAAATAAAAAAAAGAAGTCACACCCCAGCCACCCTCCTCTGGCAAGTAATGAACAGTCTCTAACCTAGACCTTATATCAGCCTGTTGCAACACAGCGCCTTTTGTCTAATGTCTAGTATATCATGATCAATATACTTTAGAACAGGACAAAAGTGTCAAAGAAAGAAAGTGTAGCTTTTTGGAGTTCATGTTGCCTCTGCTTTAAATGTACGCGTGTACTGACAACGTAAGTGACGGAGCTCGTATGTATGTAATGTACGTATTCTACGTAGCACTGGATTGGACGCAAACGTTCTTTTCCTCATAGACATATATACATAGACGCCGCATCGAGTGCCTGAGTGCGTCCTCGCCGGCCGCCATCTTGGATGGGTCTCGCTTCGCCTCCACATTGCATTCACTTCTATTGAGGAAGGAGCTGTATGCACAAGTAAAATAGAATAACTCACTGAATTTTCAACTGATTTTCACGCGGTTTGGTTTGTTANTTCCTCAATAGAAGTGAATGCATTGTGGAGGCGAAACGAGACCCATCCAAGATGGCGGCCGGCGAGGACGTCGGCTCTGATAGGCAGCGGCAGTCAATGCGGCGTCTATGTATATATGTCTATGCTTTTCCTGGGATGGCGAAGGAATGACCCGCCCTACACCCCCTCTGATTGGCCGGTAGTCGTTGCCTTCGTTGGTTGAATTGGCTAGATTTTGACAAGAGGAGTGGGATTGATCAGCGTTGGGAAGATAATATAAAGGTAAGCCAATCAGAGGATGAGTCGAGTAGAGTAGGGCGGGTCATGCCTTCCTCGCCCTCACCATACTAGAAAAAAATTAACTCATGAGCAGGACGGACTTAGCATACTGTCAAAGGCACACCGCCAGAAGAGGCTGTTAGCTGGCAGTTGACAGATAATCCAAGCTAAATCCTGTCGGAATAACTAACAGTGACCATTCCCAGTAACTATTTCCATCAGCTGTTCGGCGATCAGCGTTATTCCACATTCAGTGGCAGGTGAGTAACAGCGGCTGCTGCTAGTAACTGTGGACTGATTGATAATTCATGCAGTAAACGTGGAAACGTTTTAACTTAAACGCTAGAATAAGCAGGGCCGAATGCACACAAACATTTGACGGCTGCTTTGTGCCGTTGCGTCTGTGAAAATGTACACGTCAATACGCATGCGCGAGAAATACTGTTTTTATTCATGTATTTTATTGTCCCACATTCTCACTTGGCCAGTATATTTTCCGCTCTTTGGTAAATGAAGGCATTTTAAGAAATCTAATTTACAACAAGACTTATTAATGTTCTGAGTTACTGTACATATTTAACGTTACAGCACTCAGACCCACAGGTGAATGAACTTAATATTCTTTTGGTTATCTTTATTTTCCCCCCAGATGAAAGTAGCAATGCCCGACAAACATGTCTCATAGAGAAGATAAAGGGAAAGGGAGGTGAGCAGCACAAACAGCGACAGTTCTAAGAATGCTCATTCAGCCATTGAGGTAATCACTGTACATGTAATGCAGCAGCGCTGTATTGAACACCTTTTTAAAAACTTTTTTCCAGGTCTTACCACACTGACTTGTACATCAGCATCCCTCCAACATGTCTGCCCATTGTGTACCACCCAGACTACAACATCACCTTCATGGGCCTCGAAAAGCTCCACCCATTTGATGCAGGGAAGTGGGGCAAAGTCATTCATTTCTTGAAAGGTAAGAGAATGAGAAGCAGAGTGGTAGATGGGGAGGGCATCTCCCTAAGCTGATGTATACAGAATCACTCAGGGTGGATCAGATAGGCAAAGAGAAGTAGAAAACATAGAAGAGAGGGTGGAGAGGTGAGATGCAGTTGCTTAAGAGGGGAAAGGCTGAGCAATGGAGCACAGATAATTCGAGAAAACTCAATGTAGGAGTGTGTGCAGATACAGTAGTGGCCCAGTACAGAGTTCAAGGCCAAGGGAAAACAGTGACTGGCCTACTGGCATGACTTCACAAAGTTATTGTCAAACTGCACTATGGACTGTCTTTGCTGTAGAATGTGCCGTCCACAGTTTAGTGGATCCACAAAAGAAAACTTTCATAAGTTAAGAGTGCAAATAAAGAACTGAGCCCCTGTTGACAGAGGAAAACCTTGGACTTTGTAAAAATGTATTCTTGCAATTATTGGAGAAAAGGTGGATGATTTTGAAAATTTTTATCAGTGGGGGTAATTTGGCCACAATTAATAGCTTGCTAATATTTGCACCATTATCTCACTGTCAATACATTGCAATAGTTATTAAATTTCTTAAAAGATCATTATTTCAATTTCAATTTCAATTTTATTTATAAAGCCCAATATCACAAATCACAATTTGCCTCACAGGGCTTTACAGCATACAACATCCCTCTGTCCTTATGACCCTCGCAAATTATAAAAACTATAATTCATGGTTACTGCATTGATCCAAATGGTCACATTGTATGTTTATTAATAAAAATGGCTAAAAACTTGAAATATTTGCTGTGATGTAGTTACAGAGTTAGGTATTATTTAACTTGACATCATATATTGAGACAAAAACGTTTAACCCACCCAATATTTCAATATTAGAATGTTGTCATTGACAAAATATGTAAATAGAGGTGAGGTAATTCTGTTGATCTGTCACCCAGCTCTAGTTTTAGGTCTAATGTAGAGCTGGTTGGCTTTCGTGCACATTATGGTTGCTGCTTAACTGATACAAGATTGTTAAGCTTATACTGATATCAGTATTTGAGGAAAATCTGATGTGTTTGATATATTGGCCCATTTATGTTTTTTCAACATTCACACTTTTTGAAAAAGATTGGCTATTAAAAAACAACTCTTTGCGGGACATTTTAGGGTTGAAAGTTAAAATTGTCAGTGTCCTGTCGTGGAAAATGACTCAATGGTGACTCTGGGCATGGTCTAACCTAATGTGCTTAGGTGCATTGTTGCATGTTGCTATTTTGAGGCCACAGAAAGTGATTGGTAGGCCTGTCACGATAACAAATTTTGCTGGACGATTAATTGCGTCAGAAATTATTGCGATAAGCGATAATATTGTGTAATATTGTGCTTTTAAGACCATTTTTGTTATTGTTGTAATTTTGCTGTTTTTAGACCATTTTTTAAACTTATATAATGATAATAAAGGCATAATGGTGCAAGTACACCCTTTTAAAGAGAAATAAACATTTATTTAACAAGAATATTTAGGAATGCAAAAACATTTATT